TTCCAGGGTCTCAACACTCTTAATAGCTTGTGGCAGGATCTGGGGAATGAGGTTGTCCGAATCAAGGACGAAGGCGTGGAACATCCTTGCGGGAGCGATCACCGTGACAACCTCCATTTCATAAGTGAAAACACCCATGATCGAGTTAGTAGAAGAAAGAGATAAGAGGAATTAATTGTTAAAGGAGTTTTCTCTTTGAGTCGTGTGACAAATACGAGAAATGGAGGTGGTATTTATACAACTAAAGCTCAGCAAAATTTTCCATGTATGAAAGAAATGAATCATATTTTTCTCAAATCTAGAAGAACATATGGCCGCCCATCTCTTACTGAACAATCTCAATCAATTGCTCAGAAGAAAGTAATGATAAAGTCAAGAACAGTAGCCTGAATTTTTTCAATGAAAAATACTAGGAATATCTCGGATGATTTATGATTAACTAGTTCAAGGGCAACAAGTTAACGTAGGACTGACGCAGTCCGTGAAACATGATGTTACGTTAATATTTGCTGTCAGGATATGTATTTGTTCAGAGTTGATTACAAAAAATGGGTTTGATTTCTAATGAGGAGAAAAAAAATTTCTTGTTCCCCTGAGAAAAATTTAGTGATGAAAATTTCACTGCCTGGGTTGAATTAATCTTTCTGAACCTTTTTGACCATGCATCATTAGTAAAGATTGTCACTTTTATAGTAATTAATTCCAAAGTCTTAATATTTGACCATTCTTATGAAGTGCAGGTATGGCTAGAAAATGATCTGTTTAGACAGTGATATGGACTGTCAATCTAATTTTCTCAAGGTTTCTATTTCTTCATGCTATAGACATTCATGCATCATCAAGGTAATACTTTGCCGTAAATCTTACCAATTATATGTAAAGGAATACTTGCATTGCCATAAATCTTATGATAATGAACTAGTAAACCAAGTTACCATTTTTCTTTGCTCTTAATGATATTGAAATTCTGCAGCCTGTTTTGATTCCAAATGGCCCCATGGGCCCTATTTTGGTCAAATGTAATGGTTTCATAATCCTATATACCTCTTCTCTTCTAGATGTCTAAACCACTTAATATCAAGCAAATATATGGCAGAGGTCGGTACCACATTTAAAATGATCAATTGGAGCTTTAATATGATAATTATTCTTCTCAAGCAGGGTGCTTTCTTTGACTAGTGCACATTCTTTGAAATGTAGTAACTGTTCCCTATTCATAATTGGATTTTTTCCCCACTAAAATTTGAAGAAATTGAATTGTTAAGCTTCAAAGCTCAGTCTATAAATATCATCTTAG